GAGCCTTGGGAAACAGCACACAAGCAATGTCTGCCCACAAAAGGTGAAACTTACTGAAACCTCTCTGCTTTTCAGGGGACCCAGCTAGTCACTCAGCAATTTCCTGAGCCAAAACTTTCTGTCAATGAACTTCTGCGTCCCCTGGCAATGGACCTGCATTACTGTTATCGCTGAGATCAGCCAGGGTCTGGGAGTTGTGCACAGCTGTGTCTTCAGCACAAACCATGGTGCATTTCAGAGAACAGTGGTTGGGACCTGTTTCTTGTGCTCCTGGAGCTGGATGTCAAGGAGGTGCATTCTCAGGACTAAGACACTTTATGAATTCTATATAGGATCATTTCATTTATTTCATTCTTTTGGATGGCATACAAAATAAATGTGTGGTCTGGACACAACTGTAATTTCCACACTGACCACACCCTGAGAATATCAACAGTTGTATTTCTCTGTCCACTTAGTAGGTGCTCAAATTAGATATTTGATCTCATTATTGCAAGATTGCTATTAATTTTTTAGAAAATAATTGAGGTAGTAGCAAACACTGGCCAACAAATAGAAGCCCACATCCAAATGGACTTAAAGGTGAATTCTATCAAAACTTCAAAGAAGAATTGATAAGTTTTTTGGTTGTTGTTGTTAATCCTCACCTGAGGTTAATTTTCCATTGATTTTAGGCAAAGTGGAAGGGACAGATGGAGAGAAAGAGAGAGAGAGAGAAACATTGATGTGAGAAGACACATCCAGTGGTTGCCTCCCACCTGATCCTGACCAGGGTCGGGGTCGAACCTTCAACCCAGGCATGTGCCCTTGACCAGAAATCAAACCTGTGACACTTCAATCTCCAGACCAACACTCTTAAGTGCTGAGCTAAAACAGCTAGAACAAAAATTTATAACTTTTTATTGTTATTTATTTATTTATTTTAGAGAGAGGGGAGGGGAAAGAGAAACATCCATGTGAGAGAGAGACATCACTCGGCTGCCTCTTGCACACCTTCTACTCATGATCGAGCCCACAACCCTGTCATGTGCCCTGACCAGGAATCAAACTAGGACCTTTCAGTCCATAGGATGATGCTCCATCCACTGAGCTACACTGGTCTGGCTAGAATTTATAATGTTTTAATCAATCCTTCTTGAACTCATCCAATAATTAAAAGAAGAGACAAGACTTCCAAACAAATGTATTGAGGTGACCATGAAACTCATATAAAAGGCAGTAGGTACATAAAAAGACTGGTCAACATTCCTGATGAACTTAAGTGCAAAATTTTCAACAATATACAAGAAAGCTGAACAGCACATTGCAAGCATCCTTGACCAAGATCACTGACATACTGACCTAGAATGCAAGGATGGTTGGACATAGGTAAGCCATTAAATGTGCTCCACGTCATTTACACAATGAAAGATAAACTATACCATCTTATAAATAGATGTAGAAAGAAGCATTTAAAACATTGAAAATGACCTTATGATTACGATTCTTCATAAAATAGGTACAGAAGAGATTTATGTCAACATTTTAAAAGGCCACATTGGAGAAGCCAACAAGTGACATTATGCTGCAGAGAGAAAATGTCAAAGCTACTCTTCTGAGATCAGGACCAACAAAAGGGCACCCCGGTGACTACTTTTATTCAACAGAACTGGAAGTTTCTATCACAATAATTACACAAGAAAAAGAAATAAAAGTGTTTAAATAAAAAATAAAACATGTTAAAATGTCTCTTTCTATGTGTATGCAGATAACATGATATATTATATGGAAAAACCTAAACACTGCACCAGAAAACTGATAGAAGTAAAAGTGGATTCAGAAAAGTTGTAAGGTACAATATGTACACACACATGACTTGTGCTCCGGCACACTCAAACAAAGTGTCTTCATGACTCTAGGAAATGAGTGTGATTATTTCAGAGGAAAAAAAAATCAACTGGCCAAACAACAAGGAGAGTCAGTACCTGAAGAAACAAGAACCCTGGAGATGCGTGGTCTCCATCTTGGTTAAACCCTCATTCATGCATCCAGGTAGCATTTCCCCATTGATCATTGACCATGGTACACACACATTGTGATGATTGTCTCTCTGCATGCTTGAGGTTTCCTTTTTCAGTGTTTGGGGTCCTAACCAGAGTCAGCCAAGGATCTGCAGGCCAGTTGACTTAATTTTACCCAGTGTAACATTTTGTTCCAAGTGCATTTGTGTCCTGGCCATTTGGCTTGCACAGCTCCCAGATGCTTAGTTCCTCACCTTCCTAAGCTTCTGGCAGGACAAGCATGAAGGTTGGGATAGTTGGATGTGGGCTTTACCTCCTCTTTCCATGTGCCAGATGGCTGGCCACAGACATAACCCAGATGTCCTGCTTAGACTCGAGGACAGCCAGATACTGCCATCAGGACCAAGACTTCATGCAGATGGTGCCAGAGTTTTCACTTGCACAGGTCCTTCCTTGATTTTGAAGCATCAGTACTTTCAGGTCCACCCAGACACACAGGCACAGGGCCTGAATATGTTTAAACTATAGTATGTGGCACCTGCTTTTCTAACTGTGCTTTTTAGAAGCTGTGTATTTGAAGGGGGTGAATCAGTGCAGTGTAAACAAATTTATTTTTCTCATAAGAAAAGCTTAAATCTAGATTTGCATGTTTGTTGGCCTTTTTAAACAACTCTAACCCACACCAGTATTATATGAAAAGTGGCTGAAAACACATATTCTGAGATTGGGTTGGAGAAAATATAGCCTGGATACAACCTTTATTAGGCTCAGCAGTGAAATCTCAGCTGGGTGCTGGGTCCAGGGTCAGTGCTGTAGGTGATTTGATCCAAACCCATCTTTGGACTCCATAGTTTGCTGGAATCACCAAAAATGTACACTGACTTTCTTTCTCTTGATCTAACATGGCCCCCTCTGCTGCTGGTGCATGAGATCTGCTTGTCAACCCTGAATGTGGTGAGTGGGAACGTACCCAGGCCGTGCATGCTGTCTATGTGCTGTTCTTTCTATTTACCTGGCAAGATCTGGCAAAGAACTAAAAGAAATGTGAAATGTTATCAGGAAACTTTTTCCCTGGTACAATATGATGTTATGGAAGTGGACAGGCTTTGCCCTGGCTACTTTGGCTCAGTGGTTAGACCATTAGCCTGTAGACCAAAGAGTCCCAATCAAGGGCACATACCTCAGTTGCAAGTTCCATCCCCAGTCCCAGTCATGATCCTGTGGGAGGCAACTGTTCAATGTGTCCCTCACACTCCTATGTTTCTGTTTCTTTCTCTTTCACACATTCTCTCATTCTTCCTCCCTCACACTCTATCTACTATACATAAATAAATAATTAGAAAAATATTCTCAGCTGAAGATTAAAAAGCAAAGAAAAGAAACATTCTTTAGAGTTAAATGAACATGGGTTCAGATAGTGCTGTGATTCATGAGCTCGGTGTTATTGAATGAACTATTTAAACTCTGAGTTCTTTATCTGTAAAATGGGTATAATAATCATATCTGCTACATAAGATTGGCATGAGAATTAAATTATCTTATATATAGACCACAGCAGAGCTCAGTGAATGTCAGTTCCCTTCCCCTTTACTGCCAGTCTTTCATTAAACAACACAAATGAGCATTTTCATACAGGTGAAGGAGCAAACCATATCTCACAGGTTCTCAATTTTTAAGTTGCAGTAGAATTACCTGCAGTAATTTCAAAGACAAGTTCCCAGGTTGTAAATTCCAACCCACTGGATTGTCATTTTTGCAGAAAATGCTGGGAACCTGTGGTTTGATATGTGATGCAGATGATTCAGATGGAAGAAATTCACCAGCCACATGCTGAGAACCATCACCTTGTGTTTTCTTCACACAAAAATGCCCACTAGCCAGGTTTCTCTTTCCTATGGACCTCAACCACAGGATGACTTTCCTCTGCTCTGTGTATCCCAGCGTGGTCCCCCTTTCACACTTCCCATTGTGTTTGCTTATTTACTCATTTATGTGTCTTTTTAGAGCTGTGGTTTATCTCCATTCCCTGTGCCAAGTACATGGCCTGACACTTAGAAGATAATTATTTGTTGTTGACTAAATGACAAAAACTCGACCCCCTCCCCTCAAAAAGACCACATATGATGATTGTACTTCCACAAAAAATTAATGATAGGTCAATAATCCATGGAAACAGAATAAAACTAGGGATTGTCAGGGGCTGAGTGGGGAGGATGAGCAGTGACTGAGACCAGGCCCTGGGTTTGTCTGGATGACAATGTTTTGCATCTACAGAGTGGTTGTGATGACTGATGGTCGTGAAAAATTGTGAATGCACTTAATGCTTCTGGAATGTACACTGTGAAGGATCACACTGTTAAATTCCATTTTATTTAAATTAAATTTATTGTAGTAGCATTATATTAAATGTATTTAAAATACATTTTATATTAACTTAATAGTATAAGAAAAATAGTATAAGAAAATACAGTTTTGTTCTTTTGTTTCTTTCTATGAGACTGGAGAGTACGGGAAACCACGAGTGGGTGGTGCTGGGGTCACTTGGCTGGTTGGAAGCTGGGGCCCAGAGCTGGGCTGATCGGGCTTTGTGTTCGGCACAGGTGCTTCCAATGAGAGGCCAACCCTTGGCCTCTGGCCACCCAGCTCTGAGTCTGGGCACTGGCCAGGGTTGGCTCCCTGGGGAAGTAGCATCTTGGCTTTGAGGAGGGCAGGTCATAAAGGTAACAACACTATGCCCTGGAAGGTTCATGGGTCTTGAGGCCAAAACACATCTGTGACTCTCCAGCTCAAAACTGCTGGCTTGACCTCCCACCTGCCAGACAGTTCTGGTGAGTAAGCTGAGCAGTTGGGGGCTCCCAGCAGGGGCAAGACTGTTACTTTGCAGGTTGTGAGCACATTTGCATTTAAGACTATTTCTTTTGTGTTTCTCGGGTCTGTCTTTGTAGTAATCCAAAGTCTTTAGTAAAAAGCAGCAAGGCCCTCCTGGGCTCAGCCATGTCAAGGCAATGGGCAGGGCTAGAAGGTGGACCTGGAGTTTCTGAAGACACATATCGGGAAGTGTGTAATGTGGGAGGACCACTGGGCTTCCAGTCGAAGAAACTGCACGTCGTCCCACTCCACGCCATTGATGATGACCCTCTGCATGTTCTGCTGATGCTCAGCCCTGCAGACAAGGTGGCTGATGCCCTTGATGGTCTGGCTTTTAGACTCCACCTCCTTGTTCTTTGTTTCCTTGGGCAGAAACATCACTTTTTTATTCTTGGGGACCATAGTCATGGACATGGTGGGTGTGGCAGTGGCCTCGCCACTGCTGGGCAGACTGCTGACCTGGAGAGACTGGATGGCGCACTTGAGCATATTTTTGGTGGTAGACACGTCTCTCTCCCTGTCTGTGGGCTGGGCTGCCATCCAATAATCCACCTGCAGCCCCATCGGCTGGGTGCTGATGTCCTGGCTGCTGGAGGACAGGCTCCCACTCACTGATGGGGAGGAAGGTGGAGTGGCCCAGGCCTCCTTGATGGCCAGTGATGTGGATGGCAAAGAGGACAATAGCTTGCTAGAGCCCAAGGGGGCCACATCGTAAGAGTCTCCTGATGTGCATGAGGACATTTCCATTATTCCAAACTTCACCACCCCCAGGAAGGGAATGATCTTCAGCAAGGACTTTTCACTGGGGCTCTTCTTGTTGGTGAGCATGGCCTTTGCAATGGGCAGCTGGTGGACACAAGTGGCTCCCACAATGTACCGTGCTATTCTCCAAACGATGTCCACCGTGTCCTGCAGGGTGATCTGGGCCTCCGTTCTGTTGAACATGTTCTGCCAGGCCAGGTCCTGGAAGAAGATTTTATAGTAGTGATCCACGGAGCCCAGGTACCTGGCCACGGGATGTGAACCCAGCGGGATGACCACAAAGCACACATAGCCCAGCCAGTCAGGCATCTGATGGGACAGCTGCTCTACATAGAGCCGCAGCACGGCATTGAGGTATTTCTGCGTTCCAACCACCACGATCTTCACTGGCATCATGAGCTGGGAACTGCAGCTGTAGGTTTTTTCTATCCACGAGATGATAGAGCTGAAGGCCACCTGGAGGTCAGCCTCAGAGCGGGTGCACATCACGGACAGCAAGCGCTGCTGTAGGGCATCAAACAGGCACTGCCCCTGGCAGTCGGCAGTGTTGACGAGGATGATGTTCGTGGGCTGAGGGTCATCAGCAATGAGAACATCATTCAGATGGTCAAACACGGTCATCCTGGGGATCTTCAGCTGGCTGTGCATGTCCAGGCAGAGCTCTTCATCCAGGCTGTCGGACAGCTCATTCTGTGGCCATGCCTCCTCCCACTGCTTCCGGGATGTCCTCCAGCCCCACAGGCCAGCCTGGGTCCCCTCAGACCTGGGGAAGGGGGTGACAAGAGATGTGGTCTCAGTGATGTATCCACTAGTGGGCAACTTCTCAGTAGACACATCCTTGGTGGAATTCTCGACCTCCTGGCTGTCCAGGGTCCATGCCAACATCTCCCGGGGGGTGGATGTGCTGGAGGTCGAGTCAGACACAGAGTCACTTGGCTGCTTGTTTCTTGGGACCTGCTTCTCCTCGGGCATGTCAGCGGGACTCAGAGGCTCCCTATGACAGCAGACACTGTGGATGCTCTCAGTCTCTGGTTGTGAGCTGTAGTGTGGCAGGCCTTTGATGTATTCCCTGGGATTTGGCTCAAGGGTGCTGAGGATGGTGTCGTCACCCTCCAGATCTGAGCCACTGTTGATAAAGTTCTCCACCGTGTCATACCAAAAGTCCTCCTGTCCCTCAGGGACATGCTCTGCAGTGTCCTTGTTTAAGCAATGAACCACTGAGTCCACAACTTTCTCTATTTCAGGGACTTGTTCTGCTGGGTCCTGCTCTGAGCAATGTTCCTCCAAGTCCAGGTCTTCTTCTATTTTGGGGACATGCTCTGCAGGGTCCTGCTCAAAACACAAAAATTCCTCTGGCACTACGAACATAGGCACAGGAGCTACATAGTCCTCCTTAATGTATGGTTGCCATGTCTCGGCCAAAGTCGTTACCATTCCTTGCCCCTGTCTCTGGAGCATCCCCATATTAAAGTCCTCCTTGTTTAAGTCCTGATTGAGCATAATATCACTGCTGGGCTCCAGCTCAGAAAAGATGCTTTCATAATTTTCCTCAGGTTCGACAATCTAAGTGAAATAAACAAATTTCTAAAAACACATAGTTCACCAAAATTGGACTGGGAAGAGAAGAAAACTTGAAGAAACAAAAACAACCAGTAACAAAATAATTGAAGATGTAATCAAGACTCTCCCAGCAAACAAAATCCCAGGCCCAGATGGCTTCATGGGGGAGTTTTACCGGACATTCAAAAGAAAACTTACACCCATTCTCCTCAAACTATTTCAAAAATTCAAGAAGAAGAAAGACTTCCAATCTCGTTTTATGATGCCAGCATAATTCTAATTCTAAAACCAGAGAAAGACATTACAAAGAAAGAAAACTACAGGCCAATAACCCTGATGAACATAGACACCAAAATCCTGAACAAAATACTAGCAAATTGGATCCAGCAATACATCAAAAACAGTATTCACCATGACCAAGTGGGATTCATCCCAGGGATGCAAGGCTGGTACAATATTCACAAATCAAAAAACGTGATACACCACATAAATAAAATGAAGAAGAAAAACCACACGATCATATCAATAGATGCCGAAAACGCCTTCGACAAAATCCAGCATCCATTTCTGATAAAAACGCACAGCAGTGTTGGAATAGAGGGATCATATCTCAACCTAATAATGGCCATATGTGAAAGACCTACAGCCAACATCCTACTCAATGGGCAAAAATTAAAAGCATTTCCCGTGAGAACAGGAACAAGACAGGATGCCCACTTTTGCCACTCTTATTCAAGTAGCGCTGGGAATTTTAGCCACAGACATCTGACAAGTAGAAAAAATAAAAGCCATCCAAATGGAAAGGAGCATGTGAAACTGTCCTTAGTTGCAGATGACATAATAGTGTACATAGAGAACTCATACAACCTAACAAAAAGAAACCCGAAAGACCAATCAGAAATAACATATGTACCCCTATGTTCAGAGCAGCACTATCTACAATAGCTTACGATCTGGAAACAACCCAAGTGTCCATCAGTAGATGAGTGGATTGAAAAGCTGTGGCATACGTCCACAATGGAATACTATGCAGCTCTAAGAAAGAAAGATCTCTTATCCTTTGAGATGGCATGGAAGGACCTGGAGAGTGTTATGCTAAGCAAAACAAGCCAAGCAGAGAGACAATTATCACGTGATCTCCCTTATGTGTGCAATATAATGAACTAAACAAACTGCTGAACAAAATTAACCCAGAGACAAAGAGGTGGGGTACAGACTGAAAAACCTCAGACGAAGGCGGTTTTGGGGGAAGAGATGAACCACAGATTTCACATGCACGTATGCATGACCAATGAACATAGATAACATAGCTGGGGAAAAGGTGGGGGCGAGGGAGTGGAGGAAGGTGTCAATGGACAAAAAATGAGAAACATCTGTAACAAAAAGAAATTAATATATAGAACAACAACAACAAAAACAAATTGTAACTGCCATTTGCCCACTGTTCCCACTTCTAGGGATATATTATTCTAAGAACGTGGAAACATCCATGAGAAGGAATATATGCACCCCTAGGTTCATAGCAGTGATATGTACAATAGCTTAGATCTGGAAACAGCCCTAGTGTCCATCAGCAGTAAATGAGTGAATAAAAAAGCTCTGGTGCATTTGCACAATTAAATACCATGCAGCTCTACAAAGGAAGGATCTCTCATCACACTTTGAGACAGAATGAAGGGACCTGGAGAGTATTATGCTAAGCAGAATAAGCCAGTCAGAGACAGAAACATATCCCATGAACTCACTTCCAGGTGTCATCTAATAAAAAACATAAAATGATGAACAAAATAGTTGCAGAGTCATGGAAGCTTGGAATAGACTAATAATGAATGTCACAGCGAAGGAGGTAGGGGGAAAGACATTGCCAAGCACTCTTATACATACGTGGAGAACCCGTGGACAGAAGCAATAGTGTGGTGGAGGGCGGAGGGGTGGGAGGTGGGAGCAGGGGAGAGGGAGATAAATGGGAAACAGTGGGACCACCTGTAATGTCGTGAACAATAAAGATATGAAATTTTCTAAATAATGCAATTTATAGAATAAGTAAATAATAAAAAAGAAGTTTAGGAAAATGCAAAAATACTCGAGTGAATGTGAAGTGCAATGACGCAAAAGTCTCTTTCCTGATATTTCTAATATTGTGTGGACAGTGACACTGTATCAGGTCTGAAAGGGTCTGTGAGTGAGAGTGGGTGGCAGGGAGGTGATGGGGACCCAGATTCCTTTGGGAATTAGACGCTAGAAGGGATCTCAGGGGAGAAGCAGGGCAGCATCTGGAACCCATGTCCCCTTTGACAGCATGGAGTCCTGGAGTTGGGTCAACTCGTCACCTACACTCACCCTGTGGTGGCCGTCCTGCAGTGTTGCAGGTGTGATGGACACCTGTGCCTCCTGCGGAGGGGTGGAGTTGAAGACCCCATCTGACAGCTCCTGTCCTTTCTCCTGTGCGGAGCTCTGCAAAGACAGTTCCCAGTCACCAGACAAGCAGCCTCAGAGCTCAGTTTTCGCTGGTTCTCTGACCCCTGTGACCCTCCATTCCAGACCCACTCACTCCATGACTGACTTTAAACGTCCACTGGGAATGAAAAGGTGTGATATCCTGAGAACCTAGATTTCCAATGGAAGAGGACAGAGGCCTCTTGGGAAGCCCCTCACCACCTGTCCTGTCCTGACGTATGGACATGACGGGACCTCTAGGTTATTCACCACCCGGTAACCTGTTCCTGCCCCTGGGGATCCTCCCTTCATGTCCCTCTTCTCCCACATGAAGAGGAGGGAGTGTGGGCTGCACAGGGATGGCTCTCAGAGCTGCCCTGGCCTCGAGTGGTCCGACCCAAGCTGCCCCGTGTTACCTCAGGCGATCTTCTCCTAAATGGGTAAAGACGTCGGAGATGAGGGTTCAACCAACGTCCGGAAAAACTCTCACGGCGGGGTCTCTGGAAACAGAAGCCCCGATGAGTGGGAACACAGCAGGAGAACATCTTTCACGCTCAAGTGTCTCTTACCAAATGAGCTGGTGGCTGGGCAGTTGGTAGGAGTTGGGTGCCGGGTTACGAGGGTTCTAAGTTCTTTTGAGGTGTGACCTCATTTCCTGATGGCCTTTCCTGTGTCCCCTCATCTAATAGCTGCTATACAGACTGTCCTTTGGCCCACTGAATGATCACCACCTTTCTCCATGGAAGGCCATCTTTGTGCACAGTGACACCAACACACCTTTTTACACAGCCCCCTTGAAGGTCTGAGTGCAACCAGGTCCTAGATCTGGGGAGACAGACCTGCGTTCAGACCCAACCCCTATTCTCACCTCTTCTTGATCCTGGATAAGTCACTGTGCCTTTCAGGGCCTGTCTGTCTCCTGCCTGCACAATAAATTGTTCTAGCAGGTGCTTCTTGGGGATGTTCAGGGTCATGTGAGGCAACAGCTACAAAGTTGGAGGAGGGCTGTCCTATTATGGTGGTGTGTCCAACCCTTTTTTATGCCTGTTGTCACCTCCCCTGTGTCCGCTTTTGTCCCAATCCCACCTGTACTCTTCACATCCAGAATGTGTGCGCATGGGTGTGTGTTCACGCATGTGCGGGAGCACATCCCAGTGCTCTCATTCTGGATCCCAGAACATAATGACTCCCCCATATTCAGGAATATGCAGGAGCGTCCCCATAGGTCAGGATCTCCAATTTCCAATCCAACTCTGTGTGAAAGGCTGGAGTCTTGGACTGGAAGGTCTGAACATTACTGAACTCTGGATTCTGAATGTCATGTACTTTGGTCAATTTCTAGAATATTTTTTTTTTCAAATTGATAGGTCTCTGGTCCTCCCTGCCCTGACCCTTCCCAGGGATCCCTGTATACCTCTCTGTCTCTTCATGGAAGAGCTCCTGTCCCCCTGCCCTGCTGTCTTTATGAAAGGTTCCCTGCCCCCCCTTTGCCCTGCCTTCCCATGGAGGGCCCCTATCTCCCCTGTTCTGACCCCTCTGTCTCGTCCCTCATGGATGGTCCTGTCCATGCCCTGACCCTCAGTCACAGGCACCCAAAGTGTGTGCTCCAGTACCTGGTGTTCCCTCCTGCCTGCAGCGGCCATGTTTCTGCTCTGTACCTGGAGCACAGCTCACCCTCTTCATCTGTCTAAACCCCCCAGTGCACTTAGGAAACATCTCGAATATCATTTCAAATGTGAAATCACCCGTGGTCTCCAGAGAGAAATGTGGGGGTGTAGTGGAGGGTAGATCTGTGATAAATGTTCATAGAAAAAGACTTGACTGGGGTCTTGAACACTCAATATACAGATGATGTATACCTAAAACCTATGTTGTTTTATTAGCCGACGTCACCCCAATACAGTCAATTAAAAATTAATAAAAGGTGGGGGAACTTTGAGGGTGATTAGATCATCAGAGTGGATAGGTTTAATACAATATGAAGAGACCCCATACGAGACTTATCGGCGGGATTATTCTGTAACTTGTATTAATGTCTAACTACTATGCGGTACATCTGAAACCAATGTTAAATAGCAACGCTAATTGAAAAAAATTAGTATTATTAAAAACTTTCAAAAATAGACATCTAAATATAAATCACAGTGATCTCTAAAATATATAAATCAGATCATGACACTCTCAGGTGTAAAAGCCACAGTGGCCCCAGAAGGGTCAGCTGTCCAGCCAGATCCATGGCCACGATGGTGACCCTGATGGGAGAGCAATGCCCTGTCTTCCCCCTCCAGCTGCCTCTGCCACTGTTCTGGTGGCAGTGGGCATGGTGCCCACAAATCTGTGCTCCCTTCACAGTGTGCTAGGTGGCACATTGGCTGCTTAGTTCTAGTGGAAGCAGGCACAGAGACAAAAATGATGTTTAACCTTTAATGGTTCTAATAGCATTTTCAATGCACCCAAGGGAACTTTACCCACCCTCTGACAAATTGGAAGTTCATAGCACTACTGGCCTGCCTCAAGAAACAAGAAAAATCACAAGTAGGCTACCTAACCTCACAACTTAAAAAACTAGAGAGAAAACAAAAAGAAAACCCCAGAGCAAGTGGAAGGAAGGAAATAGTAAAGATCAGAGCAGAAATAAACAACATAGAGTCAAAAAAAAAAAAATTCAAAGGATCAGTAAAACAAAGAGTTGGTTTTTCGAGGAGATCAACAAGTTTGATGGACCCTTAGCTAGACTCACCAAGAAACAAAGAGAGAGAGAATCCAAATACACAAAATCAGAAATGAAAGAGGAAAACTACGGAAATACAAAAGATCGTTAACAGCTACTATGAACAATTATATAGCAACAAATTCGACAATCTAAGCAAAATGGACAAATTTCTAAAAACACATAGTCCCCCAAAACTGGACCATGAAGAGATGGAGAACTTGAACAGACCAATAACAGCCAATAACAAGGAAACTGAAGATGTAATCAAGACTCTCCCAGCAAACAAAAGCCCAGGCCCGAATGGCTTCACGGGGGAGTTTTACCGGACATTCAAAAGAAAACTTACACCCATTCTCCTCAAACTATTTCAAAAATTCAAGAAGAAGAAAGACTTCCTCTCTCGTTTTATGGTGCCAGCATAAGTCTAATTCCAAAACCAGAGAAAGACATTACAAAGAAAGAAAACTACAGGCCAATAACCCTGATGAACATAGACGCCAAAATCCTGAACAAAATACTAGCAAATTGGATCCAGCAATACATCAAAAACAGTATTCACCATGACCAAGTGGGATTCATCCCAGGAATGCAAGGCTGGTACAATATTCACAAATCAAAAAACGTGATACACCACATAAATAAAATGAAGAAGAAAAACCACACGATCATATCAATAGATGCCGAAAACGCCTTCGACAAAATCCAGCATCCATTTCTGATAAAAACGCACAGCAGTGTTGGAATAGAGGGATCATATCTCGACCTAATAATGGCCATATGTGAAAGACCTACAGCCAACATCCTACTCAATGGGCAAAAATTAAAAGCATTTCCCTTGAGAACAGGAACAAGACAGGATGCCCACTTTTGCCACTCTTATTCAAGTAGCGCTGGGAATTTTAGCCACAGCCATCTGACAGGAAGAAAAAATAAAAGCCATCCAAATTTAAAGGAGCATGTGAAACTGTCCTTAGTTGCAGATGACATAATATAGTACATAGAGAACTCATACAACCTAACAAAAAGAAACCCGAAACACCAATCAGAAATAACATATGTACCCCGATGGTCATAGCAGCACTATCTACAATAGCTTAAGACCTGGAAACAACCCAAGTGTCCATCAGTAGATGAGTGGATTGAAAAGCTGTGGCATACGTCCACAATGGAATACTATGCAGCTCTAAGAAAGAAAGATCTCTTATCCTTTGAGATGGCATGGAAGGACCTGGAGAGTGTTATGCTAAGCGAAACAAGCCAAGCAGAGAGGCAATTATCGCGTGATCTCCCTTATGTGTGCAATATAATGAACTAAACAAACTGCTGAACAAAATTAACCCAGAGACAAAGAGGTGGGGTACAGACTGAAAAACCTCAGACGAAGGCGGTTTGGGGGGAAGAGATGAACCACAGATTTCACATGCTCGTATGCATGAGCAATGAACATAGACAACATAGCTGGGGATGGGGTGGTGGCAAGGGAGTGGAGGAAGGTGTCAATGGACAAAAAATGAGAAACATCTGTAACAAAAAGAAATTAATATATAGAACAACAACAACAAAAAACACTGAAACTGCCATTTGCCCACTGTTCCCACTTCTAGGGATATATTATTCTAAGAACCTAGAAACATCCATGAGAAGGAATATATGCACCCCTATGTTCATAGCAGTGATATGTACAATAGCTTAGATCTGGAAACAGCCCAAGTTGCCATCAGTAGATGAGTGAATAAAAAAGCTCTGGTGCATTTGCACCATTGAATACCATGCAGCTCTAAAAAGGAAAGATCTCTCATCACACTTTGAG